TGAAGTTGAAATCAAGTTTTTAGGGATATATCACTGATTATTTGGGTACTTGAACATATCCATGACATTTCATATTGTATCTTGGATAAATGTATTCATAATTTTACTGCTTGTATGTTATTATTAAACTGTATTTATTCATAAGTAAATGTTCTACTTTTTTTTATGTTTTGTAATGTTTTATTGTAGGTTTTCAAAATTCATATTTCAATTCCACAACTACCTCAATCAACACCTCATTCTTTTTTGATGCAATTTCAGTCACTTTATAATCTTTACTGATTCCTTTCAAAATAGGTACCTACCAGAAAGATACTTACTTTTGCTCATTGTTAATTTATTTCTACATATATGAAAGTCCTGGATTTCAAATTCATTTATAATTGTAAATTTTTATGAAGGTATCTTGTAAACAGTATACATGAGCACTGAGGGAAGGAGTATACTGGAGTATCCTTCTATTTGTAGGTACTTCTTTCTGGACTTCTTTGGAGTGGCATAAGTACAGTAAAACACATGTTATGTCAATATACTTTCATTTTCGAAAATTATTATTAATTCAGTTCCAAAATATACCAAACATAATGAACTATGCAGATTGATGAGATAGATATTTTCAATTAGATGAATTTAGGATCACAAAATGATGTCAAATCACAAAATTTATGATAATATTCTGTGTAAATACATTAACTGAAATCCTAGGTCATTTGATCAATGTTTTCCTCAAAGCCTGGAAGTAATATTGTTGTATCTACTATTAAATCCACAGTAATGTCAGGATGCCTTTGGTGTTGAATTATTTCTTGGTTTAGACTCATTAGAGCTGGTTGCTGCTGATTTCTATTGTATGGATCAATTGCAAATGATTCTGATGGCTATAATATTTAACAAAAAATAGTCGAATAGGTTAACACATTGTTCAGGGATGGTTTTCAATATGTTCACAAAATGCTGTTCACTGTTGAAAAACTTCACTCCTGGTATCACCATTTGTGGTCTGTAGGATCCTTTTGCTTGAAGAGTGGAGTTATAAAAGTATGATGGTGAATATATCAGCTTCTGATGATAGTGTATATGCTTGTAATTTTTGATATCCCATAAAGCTGTCCCACAGAAATGCACTGGTTCGAAGAAATTTGGTCCACGATTCAGTCAGTAGGTAACAGTAATTTTCCTCACATAACGATGATACAGTAAGATCCAACAAATATAATTATGATTTCAGTTAAAAGTTCAACAATTAACACAAATAACACGATGAAATATCAAGAAGAAAATGTATGCAAATCTCAAGAAATTATGTAAACAAACTACACACTCTTTGCCGCCATCTTGTTTTGAAACAGCGCCCCCAACGGTCGATCACCTTGCCAATATGGCAAGGTGACGATTCCGATACGGCACCTGGTGGGCAAATTTGAACCAGTTTAGGACGTAATTCAAGGTCATGTTTGTTATTGTGTTCAGTACTTTCAGTAGGTTTCATGTGGGATTCGCCTTTTGACCATGGTAGGAGACACATGGCGTCTCCAGGTCAAAAGTCAGGTTAATGTGTGTGCAAGTCTATAATTTTTCTAATTACCTGATCTGGATTAAAATCCAATATTTATTGTGAAGTTTAATAAGTGTGTGTGAAAACTATCAAGCCCTTTTATCTCTACGCCGGTATAGAGGCCGGATGGTGACGGATTCACCGGATAAAGGGGCCATACTTGAAATCAAACGTGCTCAGCATGAGCACATACGATTGAATCTTTGGACATTGATGAACTCGGCTTCCGGGCATGGTGACGGACTACGGTGTCTTTAGTGCTCGAGTCGAGAGATAATATTATTACATAACCATATTTATATTCTTGAAAAAAATAATTACCTGATCTGGAGAAATTGTTACCGAAAGGTGACAGAAATCCAATACACCCAAAAGAAGAAGAAGAAGAAGAAGTAGGTTTCATGTTTCATATTTTATGAATACCATTCAACAAATTACGTTAATTTTCTCTTCTTCCTTCTCTTGAGTACAAGACATGAACTTTATATCAATTGCCAAATCAATTCTATATAATTTTATAAATGAGTATCAACAAATCTCTGATAATACGAGAATTCAACTGTGTTTGGTTGCTGTTTGAACTAGTAGAAGGTTCCAATGGAAAAATGTAGGACCTATAATGTCCTCTAATATGAATTTCCTGCACTCAAGAAGTCTTTTCTGATGAAAAATCAGTTCAATTGAATGGAAAAAATGGATTAACGTTGAGAATCCAATATGAGTTTGAAAACTGGATGTATGCAGCTCCAACAAAAACTTCCTACCTTTCTTCACTTCATTGGTCCAATGATGATAACAATAAGGTAAATTTGTGATTCATTGATATATTCATTACTGATGAATAACTCTCATTTGCAGTGCCTATCTGAGAGAGAACATGATTGAAATAATCAACAGTTCATATCTATTTCGTTTATGGGGAAATGTCTCCAGAAACTAGGACTTGCAAAAATAAGTATGGTTGTTTTTATTTCAAATATTTTTATAAGAAAAATGAAGCAAATTCAATGCCTTTGACTTTTGAACTGCAATACACAAAGCTGGGTAAGAAAAAAGACATTATGAACATGTGCAGGTGGGTAATTTATAGTTTTATTTGTAATGCTTGACTCATATAAAAATCTTGTTTATGACATCCTGCCTAGGCCTGCCTGCCATAGATTCCTATTTTTTTAGTATCATCTTTGTAGTAAAATCGCCAATGCAGATTGCATGTACTTCCAAAATGATTAAGTTAAAATACAGCTCCAATTACATTCATATGAGCAAAAACATTAGCATATTTTATAACTATATAATAACCCTGCTACAAGCAGATCATTGTAGGTAGCTTACTTCATAGCTTGAATTGAATCTTTGAACATACATTGAAGTGACACAATCTATTTCTATTTGAATATTCAGATTGTGTAATAGCTAATAGATATGGTTTGTTCTTAGTAGGTACTGAAATGCTTATAACTAGTAGGTACTAATATTTCTTAAATTTTTCAGCAGGGGAGGAGTTGCCATCCAGAGTATCTTGCAATTGAGTGCAATTAGTTACACAAATTGAAACTAAAACCAAGATTCCTTGAAGTTGAAATCAAGTTTTTAGGGATATATCACTGATTATTTGGGTACTTGAACATATCCATGACATTTCATATTGTATCTTGGATAAATGTATTCATAATTTTACTGCTTGTATGTTATTATTAAACTGTATTTATTCATAAGTAAATGTTCTACTTTTTTTTATGTTTTGTAATGTTTTATTGTAGGTTTTCAAAATTCATATTTCAATTCCACAACTACCTCAATCAACACCTCATTCTTTTTTGATGCAATTTCAGTCACTTTATAATCTTTACTGATTCCTTTCAAAATAGGTACCTACCAGAAAGATACTTACTTTTGCTCATTGTTAATTTATTTCTACATATATGAAAGTCCTGGATTTCAAATTCATTTATAATTGTAAATTTTTATGAAGGTATCTTGTAAACAGTATACATGAGCACTGAGGGAAGGAGTATACTGGAGTATCCTTCTATTTGTAGGTACTTCTTTCTGGACTTCTTTGGAGTGGCATAAGTACAGTAAAACACATGTTATGTCAATATACTTTCATTTTCGAAAATTATTATTAATTCAGTTCCAAAATATACCAAACATAATGAACTATGCAGATTGATGAGATAGATATTTTCAATTAGATGAATTTAGGATCACAAAATGATGTCAAATCACAAAATTTATGATAATATTCTGTGTAAATACATTAACTGAAATCCTAGGTCATTTGATCAATGTTTTCCTCAAAGCCTGGAAGTAATATTGTTGTATCTACTATTAAATCCACAGTAATGTCAGGATGCCTTTGGTGTTGAATTATTTCTTGGTTTAGACTCATTAGAGCTGGTTGCTGCTGATTTCTATTGTATGGATCAATTGCAAATGATTCTGATGGCTATAATATTTAACAAAAAATAGTCGAATAGGTTAACACATTGTTCAGGGATGGTTTTCAATATGTTCACAAAATGCTGTTCACTGTTGAAAAACTTCACTCCTGGTATCACCATTTGTGGTCTGTAGGATCCTTTTGCTTGAAGAGTGGAGTTATAAAAGTATGATGGTGAATATATCAGCTTCTGATGATAGTGTATATGCTTGTAATTTTTGATATCCCATAAAGCTGTCCCACAGAAATGCACTGGTTCGAAGAAATTTGGTCCACGATTCAGTCAGTAGGTAACAGTAATTTTCCTCACATAACGATGATACAGTAAGATCCAACAAATATAATTATGATTTCAGTTAAAAGTTCAACAATTAACACAAATAACACGATGAAATATCAAGAAGAAAATGTATGCAAATCTCAAGAAATTATGTAAACAAACTACACACTCTTTGCCGCCATCTTGTTTTGAAACAGCGCCCCCAACGGTCGATCACCTTGCCAATTGAGATGACTTTAAAATCGTCAATTTCCATCATATATCTACTACTTATACATGAATCATAGCCAATCATAGCTGTCCTCAAAGCGGGACCAACTTCTGTCTCTATCTCTATAGCTAACGAAATCGACCAATAGGCGTTGATGCCGACATAGGGAAAAAATAATACGAAACTTGTCCAACCAATATGGCTGTTTCCATCCTTCACTTTCCGTCCTTATAGATTCAAAAAGTACCTCTCATTTTGGTCTCATTTTTGTTGAGACATCGTATAGGCGATGAGCCATATATAGAAATAGTACAAATATGATTTCCATCAAGGGACCCCAATAAAAGGTATAAAAGGAAGAATATTGTGAAAGAATTTATTTTTACCGTATATACGTCACAAGTTTTCTTATATCAACAACTGACGGTCTACGGATACGCGGACAGCGGACTTGCGTTGCGGCCGACGGGTTGCGGGCTTCTAGGCAGGAACATGAAAAACATAAATAATAATAAATAAAAAGTGACACTGACCTGCTGAAAGATTGCCTTAACATTTCTATAAGGTAGATTTTATAGATTTTATGAGTGTATTTTAATAAAATTAATTAATTTTATTCTCTATACAAGTTCAAAGTAAGGATCAATGTTCATTATTCAAAATTTCATTTGCATGTGAATGAAATTTTGATGTTTCACCACACCAATAAGATGAATTTCAATACAATTATTGAATTTTCAGAATCATAAAAGTTCAGTGATGGAGGAAAACGTAAACAAAAAAATGGATATTTCAGAAGACCAACTAACACTTGCAGGGGTACCTCTTTTCTTGAGAAAATTATGGAAGCTTGTCAATGATCAAGAAAATGAACACATCATTTGCTGGAATAAAACAGAAAATGGCTTCCTCATATTGGATCAGTTAGAATTCATCATGAAATTATTACCTCATTATTTCAAACATAACAATATGTCCAGCTTTGTGAGGCAGTTGAATTTTTATAACTTTCACAAAGTTGCTAGTGTCAATGATGAAATAGAATTTGTTCATAAATGTTTTATAAAAGGAGTACCAGAGGTGCTGATTTTAATAAAAAGAAAAAGCTCTGTTGTCAAACAAAAAGGATTGAACATGGATGAAGAGCTCAAAGATTTCCTGAATGATGTTAAAAATTTGAGAAATAAGAATGCCTTGATTCAAAAAGAGTTGATACTACTGAAACAGGAAAACATGACACTGTGGAGTGAACTCAATTCCCTGAGAACCAAGTATGAAAAACAATCATCAATCATCAATAAATTGATCAATTTCTTGATATCATACATCCATACACATCAAACTTCTTATGGTAATGAGCAGAATATGGGTGTTCCAAGAAGATCAAATCAAAATAACCTCAAATCAAGTCCAAAGATTTTAGAATTGGATTACAGAGACAAGCAAAAAAATGTTGGTAACAAAACAGATGAAACCTCATATGCTATGTTCCAACCAGGTTCCAGTAACTCCCATGGTACAATCACTTATTCAGTCAAAATACCTGAGAGTCTCTCTAAAACCAAGAAAAATGTGCCATCTTTACAGGAAATTCTATCACAAAATCATGGCTCCCACAGTCATAATAATGAGCTGAGATTTCCAATGAATTTGAATAGGGGAACCCAAAGTGATGAAATCACATATTCTATAAAATTACCTGCAGATCAAACTGGAAAAATGGTATCAACAGACATTCAGAAGTCCCTCTTTGAACTTCTAAATGAAAACAAGAGATTATCTATGGAAAACTCTTTAGAAGATCTCCTAACTGAAATTAATGCTGTGGATGAACCTGTTATGGATATGGGAGTAGAATTTAGGAAACCTATTCAAGAATTTGAGCCTGCATTTTCAAATCATGCAGGAAATACATGTTATACTGTGAGTTATCCAAAGGAACTTGTACAGAACATACAATCTCAAAAAGATACATCTGTAACAACATCCATCCTGCAAACTCAAAAAAATGACTCATCTACAGCTCCTGCAAAATTCTCAAAAATTATTGAAGTGAACAACAATATGAATACACAGCCTGAATTCACAGACACGAAAAAAAATTCAAGTCTTGGTGAAATTAGAAGTCAAAAAGACAATTCCACAGACTTTCAACCAAACTTATATACTTCTAATAATGAAGAACTGTTTGATCCAAGTCCCAGTGGAGTCTCATCAAAATCTTTCAAAGTTATCAAGACAAATAATCCAAATGAGTCCATTGAAATGGTGAACCAATCTCTACTTGATATATTAAAGGAGAATGAAAATTTGTCTGGTGGAAGTACAAATGATTATACATTGGGAACTCAGCTAGAAAATTCTATTGAGGATTCTACAGTTGTTCCTTTGGACACTTTGAAGAAGTTAGATGTCTTTCCACAAAGAAACATGGAGTCAACTTCACCAATTCTTGAACCTGCTTCTAATATAGAAATTGAGTATTTTGTTGAAGCACCAGATCCAAATTTGAATCTGAGCAGTGATAAAATGGAATGGTCAGTACTTCAGCAGCCAATGAATAGTAACAGTATTTCACCATCAGTATCTGTAGGATCTAAGAATTATAATATATTATCAAAGCCAAATTCATATGTAGGCCAAGTTGCATGTCCTATTAAAAACAAGCCCAGTCTAGGTGGAAATAGACAACACCAAAGAAATACAAATTTGCAAATGAATAAAGCAACGTCTACTAAAGTTGAAGCAAGAAAAAGGCTCAAATCTGCTGACACTGAAGCCATCTTGAAGTCTTTTAAGACAAAGCCAGTTAAAATGACTGACTCTTTACTTGACATTTCAAGAGGGAAGGAAAGTTTGTCTTGTGAAAATCCTAATGATGGATTATTGAGAACACATGGAAATTCTAAAGTTGTTCCTGGTAAAACCAATAACCAACTAATGCAAAAGATGAGATTATTGTCAAAGAAATATGGGAAACAAATTATTGAAATGCCTTCAGATATAAGTACTGATGAATTACCAGGAACTATGGAACCCACAGTTCAAAACCCAGAAATCAGGGATAATATTTCATCATCATCAGTACCCTTAGGGTCACAAAAACTCAATTTATTGAGAAATCCCAATGTCAGAAAAGTTTATAAAGCTGGCAATGAAATTGCCTACCCTATTAAAGATAAGTCAATGCTGGTTGGAAGTCATCAAAGACCAAGCAATACAAAATTGCAAATAAATACGGACACTCCTGCTGAAATAAAAAGAATTGTGAATTCAAGGAAACGGCTCAAATCTGCTTGTGCTGAGCCTACTTTGAAATCTTTCAAAATTCCTAAAACAAAATCTATAGGAATAGAAGATTCAAAAGAATCCAAGGTGAAACAATCTTTACTTAATATCTTGAAGGAGAATGAACATTTGTCTGTGGAAAACCCTAAGAATACCATAATTGTTCCTTCTGATCAACCAATGAGGAATATAGAACTTTTATTACAGGAAAATGGAGAGCCATTGGTCCCTATTGAATCACCTGCTGCTTCTGATGAGATTGAATGTCAGTATATTGTTCAAACACCTGATTCAAATTCAAATCCTGGAATTGATGATGTGGAACTAACTGAAATTCTAGACCAAAATCTTGATGAACTTCCTGAAACAATTCCAGAATTAACAGTAGAAAAGTCACCAAACACTGACATCACTCCACCGTTTCCATTATCTGTAGGAAATGATGAATTCAATATATTGGAGAATCCTAATTCATATTTAGAGAGTCCACAAGATGATCTGAATGCATTACAAGAGATCCTCAATAATTTGGATTCAAAAGATTTGAGTGATATTTTGAGTAATGAAAGCAATATGAATGTAGAAAATTTGAGTTATTTAGATGATGAAAATCCTATTGACATACCAATGAGTCAGGCTAATTCTAGTGTGCAAGAGGATGGAACAAATCACAGGTCAAATTCACTTCTTGATTCAACTGCATTGGTTGATCAATATTTCAGTCCTCATTTCTTTGACCAAAATGTACAATAATAGCTATTCATTATACAGGATTGCTGAAAATTCTGAATATATGGACAAATAATCCGAAAACCATTTTTCAAATTTGGAAAAAATCTACAGGGCCATCGAGAGAGAGCTGTTTTATAATAATATAGTTGATTGAAAAATTATGCCGCCATTGTTGGCTTTTTCGAAAATTTTATCATTCTCAAATAGGGTATATAGGAACCTACCGGTCCATCAAGTTCAACCCCCAACTGCTACTGCTACTCAGTAAAATTTAACTTATAGTCCTATACACCCTCTGTCCAAGATATGAGGATGTCTATTATGGAGATCTCGACAACCATAAGAGAGACAAAGATGATTAAATTAGCGAAAAGTTGCCCATTTTAAAGCCCAACAAAAAATGCAGTTTAGAAAGTTTTAAATTTTCCTATTTCGTTTTTGTTGTTTTCTGACGGTATCTATAAGTCTAATGACTGCTGGTCTAGAATTAATACCACAGGTGGTTAAGTAATAAACGTACTTACAGTTAACTTATCACAGTCTTTTATTCAATCTCCCGAATACATAAACAACATTTAATCAACATTATGAAACGCGAACAAGACTGAATCCCCCTTTTGTTGTTGGTTAAGTAATAAACGAATAGTTAACTCATAACTTATCACAGTCTTTTATTCAATCTCCCGAATACATCAAAATCTAATTTTAAACCCCTCATCCCATTTCTTATTGAAAATGTGGGGATTTACATAAATATTAAAATACGTGCTTATACCTATATTTAATTCTGTTACTGATAAGAAGGAACACAGAATTGAAATATTCGTTATTTATAATTATAATCTATAATTTTGAATTACAAATGAAGGAAATAATAAGTATTTCCGAAAGGATTAACGAAACAATAAAAATGTTACATAACAGAAAAAAAACTTATTGGAAGCACTATATATATTTCCTTGGTTTTTTTTCGGCAAAATCTTTTATCACTTCGTCCAAAGGGATATATACAATAATCCATAAGATTAGTTTCAATGGACATAATTGCCAAATTACTCAGTCTGTCTTGTGCCCTAGTTGATCGTAGAAGTGTTTTTATTGATTTTAATTTCCAAAAAAAGACCTTTTTCTGCCACTGACACAAAAGTCGTCTATTTTGATACCAAAATTAGCTCTTAAATTGACGTTTCTATTACTGACACAAAAATAGGTATGTTGCTAGGCAACATATTTAGTTCCTAGGAGCTAAAGTTGAATTTTAGTTCCTAAGGAGCTAAAGTTGAACTTCAGCTCCTAGGAACTAAAAAGGATGTACTGAACGTCATCAACAATAAACAACATCGTGACGGTTGGTTATTTGGGTTGAGACTCATACCTGATTTCAGCAGATTTGGCATTTCATGCCCATGCTGGAGATATAAATGCACCTCATTATAGTTTATTAGTATTGGAATTATAAACATCTCAGTTGAGTATTTTTGTTTCGATCGGGGAAGCCTTCAAGATTCAAATATTTGCTTGATCTGTATTTCATTCGTTATTCTCGGGATGGATAACTTGTTTTTGAATAATCAAGGCAAGCAATAGTTTTTTTGTCTCAAACAACGATATTGTTAAGCTTCATTTGATTATCAAGTCAAACACAGTGTAGTATGGAGAGGAATAAATATCATTGTTGATATCCTCACTAACCTAACATTTTCCACGTCTTGTTCTTATAGCTGGCAGTGGCGCGGTATTTTCCATTAGAGCACCTGGTCCATACACAAATATGTCACTCTGTGGTTGTATTTATATTGAAACCACAATTCGAACATCCTAGAAATCCTAACCTGCTGTTAATGCAGGTAGAATATTCTCACCACATGGATTATTTGTTAATATTTGTTGCATACTATTATGGCACAGCATTGGTGGTTACTTCACATGTATATTTGAGTTAATTGTTTCGGTTGCAGAAAAAATAGCATGTTTCATTCGGATCAAAAGTGACTTTGTTCGACTCGCAAATTTTGCTTTCGCTCGGCTTCGCTAAACGCTCCGCCTCGCAAATGCAAAATTCGCTTGTCAAACAAAGTGTCACTTTTGATCCTAATAAAACAATCTACTATTTTCTGCAACCGACACAAAAGTCGTCCATTTTGATACCAAAATCAGCTCTTAAATTGACGTTTCTATTACTGACACAAAAATAGGTATGTTGCTATAGGCAACATTTAGTTCCTAGGAGCTGAAGTTGAATTTTAGTTCCTAGGAGCTAAAGTTGAACTTTAGCTCCTAGGAACTAAAAAGGATGTACTGGACGTCATCGAGAATGAACAACATTGTGACGGTTGGTTATTTGGGTTGAGACGCATACCTGATGATGATTTGTTTCCGATTTCAGCAGATTTGGCATTTCATACCCATGCTGGAGATATAAATACACCTTATTATAATTGTTTGGTATTGGAATTATAAACATCTCAGTTAAGTATTTTTGTTTTGATCAGGGAAGCCTTCAAGATTCAAATACTTGCTTGATCTGTATTTCATTCGTTATTCTCGGGATGGATAACTTATTGTTTTTGAATAATCACGGCAAGCAATCGGTTTTTTGTCTCAAACAACGAGTTGTTTAGCTTCATTTGATTATCAAGTCGAACACAGTGTAGTATGGAGAGGAATAAATAATCACAACATTTTCCACGTCTTGTTCCTATAGCTGGCACTGGCCGTATTTGCCATTAGAGCACCTGGTCCATACACAAATATGTCACTCTGTGGTTGTATTTATATTGAAACTACAATTCGAACATCCTAGAAAACCTAACCTACTGTTAATGCAGGTAGAATATTCTCACTACATGGATTATTTGTCAATATTTGTTGCATTGCATACATATATGGCACGGCATTGGTGGTTTCTTCACATGTTCATTTGAGTTCATTGTTTCGGTTGCAGAAAAAATAGCATATGTTTCATTCGGATCAAAAGTGACTTTGTTCGACTCGCAAATTTTGCTTTCGCTCGGCTTCGCTAAACGCTCCGCCTCGCAAATGCAAAATTCGATTGTCAAACAAAGTGTCACTTTTGATCCTAATAAATAACAATCTACTATTCTCCCGATGCTACAGATACTAATAGCGTTAAAAAAATCGAATTGCCACGGCTGTATTCGGAAATGTGGAAATTAAATTATTCTCTAAAATGTATTGAAGTATTAACTGAGGATCAGAAGTCATTTGCAACTATAGGTATATCTAATTCTTCACGTGCATCATCTTTCAAATGAAATGATAAATTGATACACGATCGAGCTTATTTCTTAATTCTTCTTCATTCATGCAAGCTGAACATTTGATGAATGAATCCAAAAATGTTTGAATTGCTCCAACCCCTTGACTCTTTCATTAAGATATGATATAAGGTCTAATATACAGGGTGTCTGTAAAAGGTTGGGACATGACTCGGCTGTGGACTCCTGGGATAAAAACAAGTTGATTTAGGCCAACACCTATATCCATAATCGTCTCGTTGAGTTGGTACAAGGCGTTGAAGTTTTTTTGTATAAAAATAATTTCGCTCATAAAAAGAGTAGGCTGAGAGATTTCCATAATTTTTGGCATGACATGTTCTGTGACTTGAAGTCACGTTTTGAGATGATGTGTTTCAGTGAGCTGCAATAAGTGTTTCAAATAACCATATGTTGCCGTACAAATTTGGTGATAACTTTTCAGAGGTCGGACTTTGGATTAATTAATGAAAACATCCTGTAACTCATTTGATTTCCAACGTCACCAATCGTCACTGAGAACTTAGAGGTGTCAAGACAAATAAGTAATTGCTATTCAAATATCCACTTTTTATATTGAAAACGGGAGCAGATTCGTTCCCGAAACGTCCAAAGCTAAGTGAAAAACTTATATATTTTTTTTCATATACCTGTATTTCTCTTCTCCAAACCTTTTACAATACAAAATTGTCACTGACACGCTAGTGACTTTTTCTTTTAGACTCTCTGATAGGAAAATTCTTTAATTGCAGTTACATTTTGGGGCAAATCATCTGATTCGTCCTTACTACACGTATATTGAAATAATATTCATATCTTTATTGTATAGACACGAGGAGAGAAAATCCCAAAAATCTGGGATAATGAAATTAATTCGAATTTTCAAATATGGGTTTTCCTAATCGAATAGGTATTTTTCCTGTGAGGCTAATCATAACAAAGGAATTATTAGCATCTTATATCGACAGAACAAAAAATTGCGCGATGATGCAGGACGCCGCTGATCGCATCTCTGCTCAGGGTCTCCGGATGCCGATCGACGCTTCTTCGGATCCTGCAGGCTGTGGCGTCGCGACGTCTCGTCTGCTCGGCGTCGAAACAGAAAACAAAGCGGGAATCGTAACGGATCCCGAGGTCGTCTGGTTGTCTGTCGATATGGGTGAGAGAGGGGGTCGAGGGGAGCCCCTTAGGCTATTAAATTTGGATTGCTATCTTGTCAGCATACTTTCAATTTTTATTGTTGGATGAGTGGGCGCTGAAAAGAATTAATGCAGCATCACTTTTAGCGAAATGAAAGGGTTTATACGTTTATTTACGACTAATATACAGGACGATGCAAATGTATGGAATGAATTCATTATAAAAAATCAAATATACGAGGTATTTTTGAAAAATAAGTACGTAGGTATGAAGAATGGAATGGGAGAACAGTTTCAATCTACTTGGTAGAATGTAATGTAACTGAACTCTGGCCATTTATTCGCCACATTAAGTATGCTTAACCTAAAACCTTACACTTGTCATTGTTTTTAGGGAATAATAAACGTATTTAATTATATATTTTCAGATTTTTTCTAATTCTCTGATTAACAAAAAATTTCATCATGTAAATTGAACAAAAATCGAGAAAACATCAAGAACGCCACTTCAAAACAATCTGAATGATTGAACTCTGCTTGCTACCACTGGCGCACTCAGGAATTTCTCTTGGGGGGGGCTCATAGAAGCCAATGAAAATAGTAAAATATATAAATTAGGGTTCAATTCTGGGAAAATGAAAAACAATGATAAACAGAATGATACATATGTAATTTCTATTAAAAAATCATTCTGAAGGTAAAAACATTTTGTGCAAAATCAACAATTCTTAAAAATCTAGTTTCCTTCTTTTAGAAGTCATATTATCTAATATTTCCTCAGGAGACACCGATATATCTTTATGAATAAAAAGTGATGCCAGACCATTCAGCCGGTTTTGCGCAGTAGTACTTCTTAAGTAAGTTTTCAATGTTCTCAATGATGAGAATGACCTTTCAGCCGTACTGGTAGTTATGGGAAGTGTTACAAAAATTTTTAGGAGTATATTTATATTAGGATATAAAGTTTGATCACAAACTATATGTAGCATTGCATGGCATTTAGTGGCCGGGTATCGATTTCCTTGAACTTATAATTCCATAAACGGAATTCGCTCATCAAAATGGATTCAGTAGATATCATCACATCTTCAAAAAAAGGATATCCATTTTTAAAATAAAAA